CCTCCTAAATGTTATACACTGGACGTTTAAATAAGCTTCGATGAATTGTTTGATGTTTATAATCTCAGATATCACTTCCTCTCAAAGACAGGGAATTAAACCTTCTCCACATGATACAAACCACTGTCAGCCGTTAATCTAATCATTAAGCAGAAGTGGATGAGTCTGTTTTCCTTTTTTGAAAGCAGAAGCGACTCAATTCAGCTATTGAACAGCTAATGAAATGTTTACCATTTAACTTCTTTGTGAGTTTTGTGTGACTCTACGCAAATTATTAAAGTTCCCCAAACACGGAACTTTCCCTTTAATGTTATTAATCTCAGAAAACTTTCCTGTCTCTTTCTGCTCTTCCAGGTTCAACATGGACATCCGACACATTAAGATCACGTCCGCTGAAGGCCTCTATCGCATCAATGAGAAGAAAGCATTCAAGGGATTAATTGTAAGTCTTACAACATCATCCGGTCCAAATCTGATCATGCTGACCAGAGGAAACACACTGAAACAGCCCTTAAGTTGCGAATAACCTCATTTCCTCCGCTCAAACCACATCTGACATCTATCTCACGTTGCTCTCTCTTCTCCTCCTCCTCCTTCTTCCTACATTAGGAGATGATTCAGTTTTACCAGCAGAACTCTTTGAAGGAGTACTTCAAGGATGTGGACACCACGCTGCGTACGCCTTACAAACAACCTGAGGAAAGCAACTCGCCTAACACGCCAAACAGCACCCCAGGTACAGTACATCTCCTCCTTATTATGATCATGAGAGGGTTGTGGATCTTCTCATCAAGCTCTCAGCAAGAAAGCGAATAATGTAACTTCCCAAAATGTCCAACCAGTCTTTTAAACATATCTGTGTTTGTGCGTAATGTTGCCCCTCTCACAGGAGGCAGCATGAGGAGTTTCGGCGTAGCGAGGGCCAGGTATGACTTCTCAGCCAGGGACCGCTCAGAGCTGTCGCTGCAGGAAGGAGACACCATCAAGATCCTCTCCAAGAAAGGTCACAGTGGTTGGTGGAAAGGAGAGGTGTACGGCCGGGTGAGGAATTTGAACACAAACGCCCACAAAAGGAGAAACATTTATTCATTTTTAGGCGTCTTTTCTTACCTGCACTGCTCCTGTGTCTCCAGGTGGGGTTCTTTCCAGCCAACTATGTGGAGGAGGACTACTCTGACTACTGCTGACGTGGCTCCAGAGGAGATGTGTAGACCCTGTATGTGTATAAACTGATATGTATACTAACATAATGTATGTTTAGGGGTCTGTGTGATACATGGTTTCCAATGATTGCATTAATCCATATGCACGAGTGTGGCTGAGTGCGTGAGAAAGGGGCTGTTACCTGTGATCTGATGACTGTTTAGTAATGTGAATAAAACTTTTGTTCAGCTGACTTGATGTGTATTTTTTATTTTTATCATATTTGGAATTAAGTGTAAACTTAACACCCATACCTGATTGTCAAACATCTCCTTTCAAAACCTTGGAAATAAACCTGCAGCCCCCACTCTTCTAAGATGGCTCTCCACAACATTTTGGTACCTGACTGCAGGGATTGGCTCCCATTCAAGGACAAGAGCACCAGGGAAGTTATCACTGACATTGGGTGATAAGGTCTGGCTCACAACTACCATCCTAATTGACTTTCTTAAGTCCCCTTTTTTGCTCTGTGCTCCAATGACAGTCAACTTTCTTTTCCTGTGTACACAAGTATGTACTCCTTAACAGTTATATTGTTTTTTATATTGTTTTATATATTGGATTATCATTGATGCATTCATGTATGCAGGATTTCAGCATTGTAGCTGGTAGAAGTTGAGCTTTGTAACAGCTTTCAACACTGCTGGGTAATTCAACAATGTTTTATAAACTGATTACATCTTTTGGATTAAACATTTAAACCTGTAAAGTAACATTTAACTGCAGCTATCAAATGTATTACAAGAACAATATTTTCCTCTGAAATGTATTGAGTATAAGTATAAAAAGTATTAGCATTAAGAATTAACATTTTAATACAGAGAATGCACATCCAGTTTGTAGTCAGTAATTCGTTCCACCACTGAGACCAAAAGTACACAATTGTATGTCAACAGGGTTCTCCACATACTTTTCCCCCATGTGTACATTCAGATGTTATTTCTGTATATCATATTTTTGCACACTTGTAAGACTTTGCATGCAGTACAAAGTTACAGCTTTCAAATGAACTGCAGGTAACATCAGTATAATTAACCTTCATTTAGAGAAGTGTTAAACAAACAAGAGGTTACAGTTTATTACAGTCTCTGCCTTCACGACAGGAACAACAATGACCAGCGCTCAGACTTGTAGGTAGGTAAATGTCTGCTTTAATTCAAAAATATCAAAACAAAAATTGTAGAACATCATGTCTTTCATATAATTTGCGGGCAAAAAATTATTAGCTAAAACTGAGATCAATGTCATATGTGTGTGTTTTCTGCTCTGAAGATGCCGCTTCTCGTCTCTTTCAGTTGTGTTGTCTGATCATGGCGGTTCCCTGCAACAGATTCCAGCGATTCCATCTGTGTGTGTGTGTGTGCGTGCGTAACAGGGAAGAGGTGTAGCATCTGTGTAGCACTGAGTCATGGTAGTCTACTGGTAGTACAGCTCCAGGTTCATCCCATCATGGATTTCATCTGAAGAGGTCGTGGTTAAGTACAACAGATCTGCTTGGTACAAGTTTATTACCATTAATGGAGCGACGCCTGAGAGCTGGTTCAGGCAGTCAACTCGAACACAAACTAAACACACAAAATTTGGCAGTCTATTTAAGCTGCAACATTTCCCAGCTCTCTGCTGCCTGGCCTGCCTGTTCTGTAAGCCACGCCGCCACCCCAGCATCCACCTGTACTCTCCGATTAGGGGAATTCGGGTATTGGCTCATCGCTCCCTGCAGATAAGCTTATGTAAAGATATTACAGGAGCCTAGACGCTAAAATCTAACTATGTTGTACTGCTGCAATAAACATTTCAAACAGGAGTTGTCTGACTGAAATATATTAAATTTGTTGCTTTAATATCACAAACAAGCTACTCTACATGTGAAAAGATTGTTTAGGAAAGGATACAGTCACCCAGAGTCACGTGGTCCTTGAATATAGTATACCTGTGGGAACAGAGGAGGAACATTTAGCTGCTGAAAGAACACAGCCACAGAAACACTTGTTATCGTCAAGCAGGGCATTATGCCACACGAGTATCTTACCATTTCTTTAATACAATTTTGTCATATCGTGTTCCTGTCTGGGCAGCAATGAGCTTCTTCAGATCCCCAATGCTATCCTCAGAGCTGAAGCAAGGGTGGGTTAAGGAAAGAGCAGTGTGATAGCATAAAGAAAATAATCAGACACACACTGAGTTTAAACCTGCAGAAAGAGCCCGGTTCTTTAAACGTGGTTCGACTAACCAAGGTTAACACGATGTTTACTAAAATGATCCTGTTCCTTCTCATCTTATCATGTATTTGTCGACCTTGGAGGAAGTTGTCTTGAACTACAGTATGGTCTTCATTTGGTATAAAAGACATCTTGACTAGAGAGTTCACTCATGGTCAGCTGGCATGCTACCGTGGCTGCAGATTTGTACGGCACATTTGAGAAGCTGGAACCAGAGACTGGTCCATTACGAGGATTTGCTTCTTTTCTTTATCTTACATCATGAAGATGTTACAACATGTTACTCCAGGAAGGAGTGACGTGCAACTGCAGATGAAATAATAATAAAAATAACAGTTACTTTGAGTCTTAAGGTGAATAAACCTACACTTTTTCAAGCTTGAATTTAAGGACTTGTTGCTGGGACATTTCACACCATTATGACTGGGCTAATGAGTTCAAGTCTTGATTTTATTTGAATAAATTGTCATTTATTTTCCAGAACAGGTTACTTTGTGATATTCAGGAAATCAGGATTAAAATGTTCTGTTGATACACAGTATAAATAAAAACTACAAACAACAGCTACAATGCAGAACCTTATGTGAAGTATAAGACCTATAAGACCCCTCTGTGCAAAGTTGCATTCAGGAACGATACCATTATCTCTAAACACTGGAGGTTTAATGCCACTCCAGGCTTTGTTTGTTGTGTAATTTAGGTGAGATTCATTTTGTTTGTTTTGCTGCCCTCTCTACGAGGAGATAAGGGATGTAAATGTCCTCCATTCATGAGGATTTCTTTTGACCGGAACAATATGCAAAACTGTGATTCAGGAAGGAGTGAAAGAAGGCAGAATAGTTTGTTTAAGCCAGAGCTGTTAAATGACCAGTAATATGACAATTAAATGAAATGTTTGACCACTGCAACTGTACTTCTGGTATCTTGTAAACACTTTGTAAACCCACTTTGTGTGCATGCCACAAAAAACCCCATCAAGTCCCAATCGAAGAGCCGCAGATGAAGAAGTGAAACATCTAAGTTTGTGTCAACTGCAGCCAACAACACGTGGACACAGGTATTACACACGTGGACACATTATTCAACATTATCTCCGCAGTTTCCAGTGAAGGATACTTGCACTTGACCCGGACTTTCTTGCCCAGACGATCGTTGCAAACCACCTCGATCATCTTCGGTTCCTGTCGGGCTGAAAGGAAACACAAGTCAGCTCCTCAGCACAACAACCGTGAGTGTGGAGTCCATTTAAACCATTTCCCAATAAAGTCCATCGAGCTCCCTGCATGCAGGTAGAAGCTACAGCTAATGTGGTTCAGTCACAGTGTGCCACAGTAGAGAAACAGAGCCTTTAAGTAAAGAAACAAAGAAATAAAAAGCAGCTGACGTTCACAACACGTAACACAATGCAGCGACCAATGTGCGTAACGTCACAAAGCACTCGTGTAAACCGACATTTAGTTTCTAAAATATAGAGCATCGTGTCACACATATAGTAAAGTGTTAAATGTGATATTCTTTACCTGGAAGTTCACAACAGAATATCAAATATTTCGCTTTTCTGAGATTTTCTGGCTCGCTCTCCGTCCGTCCGTCCCGCTGACCGTAAAGCTGATCCAGTTGGTGTGTTAGCCGCTCGGCCAATCAAATGGGCTCACTCGTGATTGACAGCCCGCGTCAGCCTATCACAGAGCGGAGAACCCCGTCGAAGGCGGAGCTCATTCCGACAACAACTCGTGCCGTAAACACGCCGCTCACTGTCGCAAATCCGCCCTCGCTGCAGCCCGACCTGTCACACGGCAGCTACATTGAAATTAAATTTGTAAACGTTGCTGCAGAAGAAATAATGGCAGACGAGGAGAAACTACCGGCCGGGTGGGAGAAGAGAATGAGCCGCAGTTCAGGTAACCAAAACACAACTCAGAGAGGATAAATGTTTTAATTCAGGCAGCTAAATGGAAGTAAACTTAGCTCACGAGCTAGCAGCCGCAGCATCGTGCTTTTTAAAACCGTGACAACGAGTGCGTGCGCAGCTTTTAAGTTGAATAAAGGTGAGTTGAACACGAGTGATCCGTGGACTCTGTGTCACAGGTGTGTTGTGTTAAATGCAGTGTTTGGCGCTGAATTGTGTGTGTGTGTGTGT